ATCTAGTGGCACGCCTAAATTCATAAAGTCAAGGTACCATAGAGAAAAGTTATATTTATTTTGAAAAATGTGGCACAAGGATAAAAAGAGGGACTTTGGCGATTGCAAGGGCGTGAAACTCAAAGTCACAAACTCACATCAATCCAACTAAATATGTGAGCGCTTTTCAATAAGTACCACGCATATATAATATATAAAGAATATATATATAAATTACACACACACACACATATATATATATATATATATATATGTATTTATATATGGGAAAGGTACTAATCCTCTTCTTCCTCCAGCTATGGGTAAATAGCAGGACAGACTGGGTTCTATAGCCTTGGATGGCAACTGGCCTAGGAGGACAACTCTGAATTCAAAACCTGTATATGGTAATCATACTTATTATAAAACCCAGGTTGTGTGTGTGTGTACGTTTATATATTGGATCGGATTTCCTACATTTTCAACCGATTTCTACAAAACTTCTCAGGACTACGTAAAATTACCTTGCGGTGGTTCTGACAGCGCCAAAATTGAAAAACACAATTGTTTTTGCACGAAATCAATTTGAAAACACGATTAAGAGGCATCGCCAGAATGAAAGGGGGACAACTCATATCGAGTTATACTTATTATAAAACCCAGGTTGTTTGTGTGTGTGTTCGTTTATATATGGGATCGGATTTCCTACATTTTTCAACCGATTTCAACAAAACTTCATTTTTTTTTTTTTTTGGCAGGTAGTGTTTCTTATTGTCTTGCATTTTTTTTTTCTTTATTTTTACATTCAGAATGCTTTAAAAATTCCATTTACAAGACAATTGTTTATAATAAAATTCTATTCAATCGGTAGAATGATAACGATTGAAAACAATGTTTTTGTTTGAGTTTGACCAATTCGTAAAAAAAAAAAAAAAAAAAAAAAAAAAAAAACTAATTAAGACATGCGTGTCCGTCAACCTTAAACAATAATCTTTGTCAGTTTTATTTTTCAGTCTTTATGATGGTCGATACTTGATCTATCTCTTACTGTTACATCCCCGGGCAAAGGGAATTCGTGATGATCCATTTGGATTATATACCAACGGATTTATTACCTTTTTTCTCTATCTAAGATAATACCTCTCTCTCTCTCTCTCTCTCTCTATAAAATATATATATATATATATATATATATATATATATATATATATATATATATATATATATATATATATATAAATATACACACAGAAAAATATTGTTAACCATTATCAATTTTAACGTATTCTTTGTAATTTTAGTTGCTTTTTCAATGATCGTGATAAATAAAGAATGAGTTTATAATTTAGATTTGAGCGCTTTGTTATAAGTTCTCTCGTAGCTCACTCGGTAGAGCAGTTGTCTTATTCTGATTGTAAAATATAATTCTGGGGACTTGAGTTCGAATCTTGGTTGGAGACATTTATTTATTAATAATTGTAAGTTTAACTCAAAAATGACTTGAAAAATAATTTAGTAATTAAAAGTAAGTAAATTTTCTTTCATCGTTGGTTTGAACTTTCAAGTTACTACTTGTTATACCTCCGGTGAGATTTGAATATGTACGTCTTATCTGTGTAATGATATGTCAGTAAGAGAATGCGTAATCTGAGAACAGATTTAGTAAGTAAAATTGTAACAATTACTTTTTCATGAGTAAGTTACTAAAAGTAGTAAAATATTTTTGTTTAGATTTCGTTACTCCTATCACACTTTTAGCCCCTACTATCTTTTGAACCAACCTAACCTCTACTGTTATTTTGAACCAACCGACCAGAAGGTTCATGGTTCTACCGACTTCCTTGATTTGAACCTCGAACCGACTGAAGGTTCATAGTTTCCGTGGCTTTTACCACAGCTCCATCTTCGCCCGCTTCGCTTTTACCATTTTCAAATGTAATAAACTTAATATTTCTGACGAGAGCGAAGAGGGAAAAAATTCCATATCCTAGATATGCCACTACCGCCGAATTATTTGATATATGTTCTCACCTGTGAAAAATTGAAGAAGACCAACCAAAGATTCGAACCCGTCCCGCCTTTACTAGTAGTCCGCGATGTTATCAATGTTGCTATCTCTCGCAAACGATACGAACGCTGCGTAGACATAAAATATAAACGAATAATATTAACCAGATGTTTGCCATAGGTTGTTTCGCAATCCATTGCTAATCCAATTAAGTGGAGTACTAGACTAGCGGAAGGTGTCATTATTTTACATTTAGAATTACTAGATTTAACCGTAAGTTCTATGTTAAAATTTTCTTCTATCGTACTTCTCGCTTGTGGAACTCTCTTCCGGGTTCTTGCTTCTCAGTTAACTTTTATCATAAAATATTTAAATGCAATGTCAATCGTTATATTCTGTACTCTCATTTCTTCTTCTTTGATTGTCCTCTCTCTCCTTAATTGTACATTTTTCTCGTATTCTCAAACACTCAGTAACCCCTTGCATTCTAGTGACTTTATTGCCTTGCTTGGGGTGAAATGATCAAAAGATTGAATTTTTCAAAATTTAAGAGACACCACATATTTGATTTAAAAGAACTGATCCGACGTGTAAATATTCGGGATAACAACTGAGACATTATTCTATTTATTGAACTATTTAGTTTATGCCACATTGACTGATAAACTCCTACAAACAAAAAAAATTCTCCAATTGCCAAATTAATAAAAAACGCACTCTCTTAAATTTTCAAAAATTTTCAACCATAGCGTTGCGACTGCACGCTCCAAAAGTTTGTATCCATTATCAATAAAATATTTAAAAAAAAAAAAACATATTTCGATTCGCATTATATTTTTTCGTCTAGGGTGCTACCTGAATTTTGCCAAAAACAAAATAGTTTCCATCCCTGAAGATGACTGAATGTACAGTTGAACGTACTTGCGTATTAAAGAAAGACCTTATACAGCTTATAATTTTTAAAAACAAGGATCATAATATTCTTCGAGTGATTTGTAGGTTAATGCACCTTTACAATTTTGTTAGCGATGGGATTTCGCCATTTTATATCATTAACTTTACTAATATACTTTTTGTATGAATGATTCATTGTAATATAAATTGAGCTACAACATATATATATATACATTGCCATCCACAGACAGACTGTTTCGCTGTATCACAGCTCATCAGTGTGGCTAGATGTCCGGATGCCTCGAGCTAGGATCGAAGCCCAACAGGATTGGCGTCAGTCGGGTATTCTACCACTAAGCCGTTGGCGCACGGCAGAGATGAAGGTGAATTTAAGCGTATTTATTTTTAGATAAACACACAGTGACTAAGATTACTCGATTCGATTTACTAAAGAGTCTTGCATTATTAACCGTAAAGGTGCGAGCATCTCAGTTTAAATTTTTAAAATCATATAATTGTGAAACCGGTAAAGTTACTCTCAATAAATATTCTAAAACTCCAGATGCATTTTTTATATATATATATATATATATATATATATATATATATATATATAGAGAGAGAGAGAGAGAGAGAGAGAGAGAGAGACAGACAGACAGACAGACAGAAGTAAAAAAAAATATATGCTAAATCATATAACTTATATTATAGCTATTGGTTTCAGATTTTATTCGCCTAATGATCGTGTTATCGCATGATTTTCATATTGTATTAGTAATATATATATATATATATATATATATATATATATATATATATATATATATGTGTGTGTGTACTATATCATAATATATTATATATATGTGTGTTTGTAATATTAAAAATATATATATATATATATATATATATATATATATATCATAATATATTATATATATGTGTGTGTGTGTGTGTGTTTGTAGTAGTTGTATTAAAATATTATATATATATATATGTGTGTGTGTGTGTGTGTGCTATATTATAATATATTATATATATGAGTGTTTGCATTAATAATATTAAAATATGTATATATATATGTATGTATATCATAATATATTATATATACGTGTGTTTGCATTAGTAATATTAAAATATTATATATATATATATATATATATGTATATGTATATATCATAATATATATGTGTCTTTTATTAGTAATATTAAAATATTATATATATAATATTTTATATATATATATGTATGTATGTATGTGTGTGTGTACTATATCATAATATATTATATAAATGTGTGTGTGTGTACAAAAAAGACAAAATGGAGAAAGCCTTTTTTTTTTAATGACAACACGTTCCGCCTTTGTGTCTAGGTTCAGGTCAGAATGAAAGACAAAACCGTCTTCTTTTTGTATTAAGGCCAGGTATGTATTTGCTTAGCTGGTGTCTTCCGATCAGAATGAGAGAACAAAACTGCATGTTGTGTTTTTATTATTATTACTAAAGCCGTTCATAGATTTTAAATTAAGCAATCAGATCTCTGGTATTCTCTCTATTAGATCAAATACTGTGCTACTATTGATTTTGCAATGATCAGTGATATTAGGTCTTAAATTTATCGTCGAGAATTCTAAAATCAGCGCATTCTCAATGTCTTTCTCCCCCTCTTAATGAATCCTTTTCTCTCCTGATCAGACCCGCATTTATTAAATCGAAATTGTGGCCAGATGTGTTACGGCGAACATAACTTACAGTATCCTATGAACACACACACACACATATATATATATATATATATATATATATATATATATATATATATATATATATATAGAGAGAGAGAGAGAGAGAGAGAGAGAGAGAAATTAAAATAAATACTTTCATAAAAAAACATTATTTTTTTTTAATTTGCAACTTTTTCTATATATACATATTAAGAAAGTATACGTGGCTTCTCATTATGCTATATATATATATATATGAATTTAAGATTTTGCACGAAATGTGCGTACGGAGAAAAATTAACGAAATAGCTCGATGTATAGCACAGAACTGTTTAAATATAAATAATTTCATTTCTTACTTCTTATTTTTTTCCGTAAGGAGCTTATACAATCATTAATTTAAGAATTAAGATCCATAAGAAAATTAAAAGAGTGACAGATTGAGACAGGCACGAATGAAGAGAGAGTGACAGATTTAGACAGGTAGGAACGAAGAGAGAGTGTGAGAGAGAGATTGAAAGAAGCACGAGCGAAGACATAGAGAGAAAGATTGAGACAGGTACGAACAAAGATAGAGACAGAGAGAGAGAGAGACAGATTAAGAGGTACGAATGAAGAGAGAGAAGAGAGACAGATTGAGACAGGTACGAACGAAGAGAGGAGAGAGAGAGAGAGAGTGTGTGTGTATGTGAGAGAGAGATTGATTGTATGTGTGTGTGAGATTACGAACGAAGACACGGAGAGAGAATGATTGAGACAGGTACGATCAAAGACAGAAAGACAGATTGAGGTAGGTAAGAACGAAGAGAGAGAAAGAGAGAGAGAGAGAGAGATTGAAAAAAGTACGAACGAAGAAAGAGAGAGAGAGAGAAAATATTGAGACAGGTACGAACGAAGACAGGTACGAACGAAGAGAGAGAAAGATTGAAACAAGTACGGACGAAGACACAGAGAGAGAGAGAGAGAGATTGAGACAGGTACTAACGACGACTGAGACAAACAGAGAGAGAGACAGACAGACAGAGACAGGTACGAACGAATACAGAGAGAAAGAGAAACAAATTGAGACAGATACGAATGAAAATAAAGACAGACAGACAGATTGAGACAGGTAGGAAAGAAGACAGAGGGAAAGAGAGTCAGATTGAGACAGGTATGAACGGAGAGAGAGAGAGGCAGATTTATACAGGTACGAACGAAGATACATAGATCAATCCACCAATGTTCAGATGGGATCCTAACGATACGAGATCAAATCTCATTGTAGGATGCTTCAATCTTCATTATTTTTCATCTATATTGCATCCTTGATAGACTCTATATACATAACATTTTATAATATAAAATAACTTAAGTTTTATGATGAAAAAATGATAATAGACAAAAGGAAAAATTATTGTAATAATAATAATAATAATAATAATCCTCCGCCGTCGCCGACTCCAGTAGTTTTGAAACTAAAGAAAATGATTGTCTTCGTGAATAAATAAAAATGAAAACGTCTTCCTTTCCCCGCCGTAAGACAGACACTAGTGTACCATTCACAGCCATTTTGTGGGGGGTATAAATTTTTTTATTATGTCTTAAAAAACGGACATTATAAAATGTATATATTCATATAATATATATAAGAATAAATTAAAAAGGACTGGGAAGAGGAAGGAAAAAAAAAGAGAAAGCTATTACTGTAAAGTGGTAAATGTACCAATTTTAACATATATATATATATATATACATATATATATAGAATAATTCCTAATGAGCCAGGTACTACCTACCTAGGTTGCACCACATGGGATCATCAGGGTGAACTGGCTTTGTATCAGAAATTTAAGGTACTGAACGATTTTTTCGCCCTGTTCGGAGGTTTCCCGCTGCCTACCTTTTTTTTCAATTTTACCTCGGATGCCAGTTTATTTGAAAATTGTACTATCCAGGTTTATTCATCCACCAAGTTTAAATAGATTTCCATCTATATATATATATATATATATATATATATATATATATATATATATATATATATATGAAGAAATATTGTTTTAAGGTGTATTATATTTATGGGATAAAGTGCTCAATATCAGAGACAGAGAGAAGGTAAATATAAAATTTTGAACAACACTACAGGTGACAGACTGTTTCATGCTAGGCGCAATCGGCAGATCTTCTTTTCTTTGAAAAAATGATTCACTTTGATATATATATGTATATATATATATATATATATATATATATATATATATATATATATATGGTGTATCAAACTATATTTTTACAGACTTTTGAAGTCGGGTGATCACAAAAAAACAAGGTCAAATGTCCACATAAACAAATATCCGCAAATCCTTCGTTTTTGAGTCATTAAGTTTCAAGTTTAGGGGAGACGCTGTTAATTGTACAATCCAAGATACAATACAAAAATACTTATTACCATAGTTTGTCTCAGCAACGCTACATTAAGAATCAGCAAAGGTTGGATTCGGCTGCCATTGGTCTGAAAGCGCAATCTTATACAGCTTCGCATCCATTACCATTCGCGCGTCTGTATATAAAAATCTGCCTGCTTACAATATGAATATCCTGTCATTGTTGAACGGGACACTTCTCAGTTAACTCAATACTACACACGTCAAACGTTGAAGACAGACTAGGCACAAATGTACACGATTGACAAATGTAACCTAGTTTTTAATCTAACACAGCGCCATCTACCGTAAACTTAAGAGTTAAAAAAAAAAACGATTTGTGGACATATGACTTTTCTCTTTATTTTGGTGGGGGGAACTCTCCCCCAAAGTTTGTAAAAGTATTTTTGACACACACACACACACACACACATACATACACACACACACATATATATAATATTTTTATTTAAAAAATATTTTACATCCCAACACGGAAATTGCAAAGAAAAAAAAAATAGAACTTTTAAATTTGTTCCATTATCAAGCGATGTTATGTAACTTGTTGAAAATGATTTACTTTTGAAAACAGAATGGTATTTTTTCGAAGAGTTAAGAAGGAGTGGGGGAAACAAGATTTCAATATTTTACGGGTATGTCCTGTTTGACCAATCAAAAGACAGGACAAAGCTGAATTATGAAAAGTTGAAATATATAAACTTAGAGGTTAGGGGGTGGTGGTGTTATTCATTATTTTTAGATGTGTTACCATTACATCCAGTTAAGAATATAATTTTTAAGATACAATGAAAAAATACACACACACACACACACACATTATATTATATATATATATATATATATATATATATATATATATAAACAAACAGTTAATTTTAGGATTTATTATTATTATTATTATTATTATTATTATTTTTGTATATACTTTAGAACTATCTTAAAGAGGCCTCTAGCATGATTAAATCATTTCTATATATATTATATTATTTTGACCCTTATATAAATTAATTATACGTACCATTATATATAATAAAATAATGCATATGTAATTGTAATACATAGATTTTTTATGAAAAATTTTAACTATATCTTAAATTAAACATTGTCTACATATTACAGTTAGTTCATTAAATTATTGATATTATATATATATATATATATATATATATATATATATATATATATATAAAATGACTTGTCCTAGACCAGTTGCCATCCAAGGCTATAGAACCCAGTCTGTTTGGGCTATTTACGCATAGCTTGAGGAAGAAGAAGAGGATTCACACCTTTTAAAAGAGTATTAGCACGTAAGTGAATGCAATGGATTCGACTGAATTCTTTTTAAATTTCTCCGATTCCTCAATTTAAATTAATATATCCATTAATCCACCGTGCCTTCTCTGAATTCAAAACCTGCGGAGGGTCGTTTGGGAACCTTGTGGCACTATAGTGCATAGGTTTCTGTATTCGGGCCTATCAAAAAGTGTCGATGGTCCTGCACGAAACCTTCAACACTATAATCAAATCTCATGTGCTGCTTTCGGGCTGTCGGTTTTACTAGGAACTGATCTACCTGACCCTCGTACGGAGAAAAATGAGAATATATATATATATATATATATATATATATATATATATATATATATATATATATATATATATATATAAATATAAAAACTTAAAAATCTGTTGTCTTTTCTCGCTTTTCATGAATTGTTGTAGATCGGCTCAGAGTTCGACTAAAAAAGAAGTGACAAAATTTACACATGCAAACTGTTGGTAATTGTCGGTAGAGGTGAAAGGAAAATGAATAAATCTCAAGAAGGCGATATTTTCATGTGTTTTATAAATGCCTAATAAACGGTTAACAAGGAATAAATTATACTTGTACGCATGGAAAACTATTACAATCTAGCTATATAAGAACTGTGGGTGTCTGTATGGGTGCGTGATAAACGCACGTGCGCGCGTTTGTGTGAAATAATTTAGTCACCCGGGAAAAGATATTATCACCAGCCGGGAACAGGTCCCGTGCTGGTGCTGGTGCTGTTAATACCGTGTGCTGAAAGGGAAGGAACACAAAGGAGAAAGAAACAGGAAGTGTTCCGTTTTTATAGTTCTTACACAGTACCGCCTAACGGTGTCTTGACAAACCAAGTGGAGTTAATTCCACAAGCTCAACCGAGGACAAAACATGTGTACAATTACTAAAATTAGCGAGAAGATAAAAAAAATGACGGTAAAGTTTAATATCGGACTATGTAAAAAAAAAAAAAAAAAAATGGTGAATGAAAAGAACGTTATGGCCGTATACCTCTTCGTTTAATGTAATAAAAATGCTATCGTTTTAGAATGTTAATTAAACCCTGACATACATATTTTTTCTCGAGAACTGACAGCAAAAATGTTAAACACTGTTTATCCAATTGTTTATTTATCTATCTATATATATATATAGAAAACAAATGATGTCTGTCTATGTGATACGTTTTCACTCGAGATCCCCCCGACAAATTTTGACAAACTTGGCACATACATTGTACAATGTAAGAGATAGGTTCTTAGCGTAAAAATCGATAATTTTAAAAAACAATAATCGATAAAACCGATCAAAATCGATAAATTCAACTTTTTTCCTCCGATTTCGTTCAAACTCGGTATGTAGGTTACTTACATCATGACGAGCTCAACGATACCTCATTTTTATTTCTACGCCACTGCGTTTAGCGAAAAACCGCGAAAAACGAAAAATCGATTTCAACACAAATTTTAAACTAAAAACTCCCTCAATTTTCAAGCAATCTAATACAAACTTCACTCAATTGTAGCCAACAATAAGTTGATTGTTTAACAGTCATTTAACTTGATAATTGAGTCCACCCATATAGTGAAAACCCGCGTAAATAGCGAAAAATGGCGATTTTTACTGGTTTCTTTCTTATTTTTCGTTGATCTTTCAACCAATTTTCATCAAACTTAACAATTGCTTTATAAATGTATCCTCTTTTACATCCCTGGTAGCACACTGACAAATTGAATTTCAAAAACATCAAAATAATTGTGGTCTGAAGTGGGTCGTTATGTTGCCTATTTTAACCCTTTATGTCCTCGGCTAAATTCGATTGAATAAATACAGTCTACTTCTGTTATATCATTAACTGCATTAATTCAAAAATTTTTTTAATGAAAGTACTTTAAAATAATTGAAGAAGATAGACTGTATTACATCTAAACATGATGCTGTTTTTGCTCCATTCTAATTGAACACTTTTTCTGATCGACCAGCTGGGTATGGCTGCTCGTAATATTATAAAAGATGCGATAACAATAACAGTATGATATTATAGAATACAAGAATATAACATTTAATTTATAAACTATAACGATAAATTATTTGGCAAACATGGACATTAGTGTCCGCAAAAATATGGTGTGTGAAAAAGACGGTTTTCCCCTTGACACCGCTATCATTTTAATTACATTCACTCATTTGAAAGTTTTATTGTTTTAAAAAGATGATTAGAATTTTAATAAAACCTAAACATGAAATTGAATTTATACATTTTCTTTGTTTTTGAGAATTGACAACAAAAATAATAAACACTATTTATTAGACTGTTTATTGGAATGGTTGGCAAAGCCATTCGAACTTTATAAAATGGTAAATAATAAGGATTTCCTTATAGCTGGTCCATATATTTTAATATTTTAGTAAATGTTTATAAATTTTTGAATAACAAATTGTCTCCACATTTATTTCTTTATATATTGGTAAAGGATAAATATTGCATTGTATTAGTTCTAATTGTATTAATTAAAAAGAATGTTGTAAATATAAAATTATTCTAAAAAAATAAACAATAATAATAAATAAATTTGTTTAATATTTTTTGCCGTAAATTCTCAAGAACAAAAAAAATGTATAAATTCACTTTTTATCATAAGCTAGGTTTGAATACAATTCTAATCATATCTTTTTAAAACAAACATTACCGAGGAGTGAATTCTATAAAAATATCATGGTGTCAATATAAATGTGTTTTTGACATTCCGGAGGTTAAAGTGTCAAAAGGACGATGTTTTTTTGCTGACTCAAAGGTTAAAGATGGCCAATTATTTATTTACAAGATTATAAAAATAACTAAGAATAATTTTCTTTTTTACAAGACTATAAAGATATATGTAGACAAACATAAATATTCATTATTTACCTTATTATAAAGAAATAACTATGAAAATATTTTTATTAATAAGATTATAAAAAAATGTTATTATAAAAGAATAAAATTTAAATAAACACACACAGTGGAACCTCGGTTCACGAATTTAATTTGTTCCTGAAGCCCGTTCGTAACCCGAAATGTTCGTAAACCGAAACTATTTTCCAATAGGAATCAATGTGAAATGGATTAATCCGTTCCTGGTCCCAAGATGATTGCTTATTTAAACATTTACAAAAGTACTTCGTACACAAGTTTATACACAAAACTAATGAAAATCATTAAATCTAATAAAAAAAATCCAATACTAAACAGATAAAATCTAGACGAACATTTTAATTTTACCTTACCTGTAAGTAGGGGAGTTGATGGCGTAAGTTGAAGGAAAGAGATGTTATTGTTTGGAAATGGGGGATGAAAGACATGATCGTCTCTTTATTTATAAGGATAGAATAGATCATGGATTTTGCCATAAGAAAAAACTGAGAAAGAAATATCATCAACAATTGTTTTTTCTCTTAACTTTTTTTTTTTTTTTACCAGTATTTTTTTAGCTTTCTTTGGAGCCATGACTAAGGACTGAATAAAGAGAAAAACATGGCACAGTACAAAAAAAATTGGAAAAGTTCTATACTTATGAATACATGAATGTATTCAAGATATAATAATAGGTTTTAAGAAATGATTCCGTTCGGGTTAACTCGGTTCGGCTCCGTCCGACTCGGTTCAGTTCGGCTCGGTCGGTTCAGTTCGGCTCGAATCGGCAATGTTGTTCGAGAACCGAAATTTTGTTCGATAACCGACGCATTTTCAAGAAAAATTTTCTGTTCGAAAACCGATTTGTTCGATATGTGAGACGTTCAAGAACGAAGGTGGCACAGTAACTAATAAATTTTATAAAAAAAAAAAAAAATTTCCGGACACTTTTTTATTTTTAAAATTTTTTTTTGCTCTCCCCACATATATTCACTAAAATTGTTTACGGTTAAATCACACTGAAAAAAAAAAATGAATTTTATTTTGTTCTTTAATTATCAAGTGTCGATCCAGGTCTGTACTTAGACGCGTGGACCGCTTGGTACTGTAAGTAATGCACTTACTTCCACCCTGAAAAGATTTTTAATTTCCAACATGAAAACTTGGACACCTAGACGTAGTGTAATAGTTAACGCTTGAAATTTGTTTTGACAAAGCACAATTACGACTGAATAGCCAAGTTGATTCTCACTGGGTATTCTATATTGTGTCGGCCTTCAAAAGAAGACATCTAAATTATGTTTAGAAAATCATTTATATATTTTTAATGTGATTTAATGGTCAGCAAACTTGTCGCCCTAGATCCGAAATAAAATGAATAATGAGAAATATGAAAAAAAAAAATTGCCCCAAACTTTCGTCCTTGTGCCCATTTTTAAAGGCTCTGTTGGTTTTTATGTTATTTAAAATTATCACCTGTAAAAGATTAAAAATCTGTCTGACCTTAAATTTTTGTTATAAAGATTTATAATCGATGTTGCTTTTTTTATCTATGAAAGGGGATCAATCTTTTTTTAGGATCGAACTCACTAGTCAGTCGTAATTATTCTAGCGAGAAAAGCTTGCTAACCATCACACCACATCGAAGTGCCCTTCAAATTCTTGGTCTTGCAGCAGTAGACAAAACAAAAAATTATTTTTTTCCTTTGTTCTTACTTTCTATTTCAGGATGATTTAAACTTATTTGGAAATATTGCCATTGCCTCAGATAAATAATGAACCATTCTCTTTTGATTGTGAAGAAAGACACAAGAAATTTTATAAGAATCACTTAGAAAATAAGTGTAAGCAAGCACAGAAACAAACAAGAACGCTGAATTGCTAAAGGAAGAACCAATCACAGCCTCTAAAAAAGGTAATGACAGACCCTATGTCTGAATATATTTCAATTTACCAATTCTTTTTTTTCTTCCACTAACAGAGATAGGACAAGAACAGTGCGGGTTTGTTAAAGACACCGGAACAAGGAACTCGATATTCATGCTTAGAATGTCATCAGAAAGAGCGATACAAATGCAGAAGGACGTGTACCGATGTTTCATTGACTACGCAAAGGCCTTCGACAAAGTACGCCACAAGGATCTGATGGAACTGCTCAGCAACCTCGATATATTCGGGAGGGATATCAAAATAATCAAGAACATATACTGGCAGCAAACAGCATGCAAGCACATAGGGAACGAGTTCAGTAAATATACAAAAAATAGAAAGGGGCGTAAGGCAAGGATGAGTCTTCTCACCGGACCTGTTCAACCTATACAGCGAGGCAATTCTGAGAGAATTGGAAACACTACCGGGATTTAGCATTGGCGGCCAGAACCTTAACACCATAAGATACGCAGATGACACAGTAATGATAACAGACACAGAAATTAAATTACAAAATCTCTTACAGAAAGTAGTGACAGAGAGTGAGAAGAAAGGACTAAGCATAAACTACAAGAAGACAGAATGCATGGTCATCAGTAAGAAGAAGAGCCCGAAATGCGATCTGCGAGTCGGGAACGCTACAATCAAGCAGATGTTTAAATATCTGGGAAGCGTCCTAACAGAGGACGGTAAGTGTGACACTGAGATCCATAGACGTAATGAGATGGCCGGGGACGCATCCCAAAAGCTGGGCAGAGTATTGCCATACGGCAGGGCTTCTTTAGTAACGAAGAAAAGAATACTGAGCTTTCACGTGACATGTGTCTTTCTTTACGGTAGCGAATGTTGGATGAATCAAAGATGAAGAAGAGTTAAAAAAGGCGACGGTTTTTGTGGTTCTACGGAAGGATGTTAAGGATATCATGGACCGAGCGTATCTTGAGCAACGATGAGGTTCTTAGGTTGCAAAGAAGGAGAAGGCTTATACGTAACATCAGAAAGAGGCAGCTGAAGTTTTGGGGGCACATAATGAAGAAGGAGGGCCTGGAGAATCTGATACTCACGGGTCGAATAGAGGAAAGAGAGACAAAGGAAAGCAGCGCGTAACATACCTGACGATCTTGAGCAGGTGAAGAGGAATAGAAGGAAGGAACGATCATGAGAGCTAAAATGATGAATGTCTTAAGGTTTTGGAATAAGATCGCCTACGTCCTGAAAAACATTTTAAAAAAAAAAAAAAAGTCGCCCAGGTATGTTACAAGCAAAAACACTCTATTCACCACGGGCCTCACACAATGGTATCAGGTTGAGGAAGAACGCAGCCACAACCTTAACCGAAATTCTTTTCTTTTTATGTGCCGTGTTCATTCAGGACGTAGGCGATCATGGCTCTCCATTTCGCCCTCTCCCTTGTAGCTCTCAATAAGTTTCGTGCACCTGCCACCTCCCCGAGACCACGTTCTGTCATCCACTTGCTTAAACCCGCCAGGTTTCCCTTGTCTCTCTTTCCCCCTATTCGACCTATGAGTATCAGATTCTCCAAGCGCCCCTTCCTCATTACATGTCCCAGAAATTTCAGCTGCCTCTTCCTGAAAGTATAATCTTTCTCCTAATTTGCATCCTCTCCAAAACCTCATCGTTGCTCACATGTTCAGTCTATGGTACCATGAGCATCCTTCTGTAGAACCATACCTCCGTGGCCTTGAATCTTCATCTTTAAGGAGACCGTCCAACATTAGCAGCCGTATAGGAGGACAGATATCACGAAGTAGCTTAGTACTCTTTCCTTTGACACCAAAGAAATCCTCCTGTCTCGCAGTACTCTACCCAGCTTTTGGTACTACTACTTAAAGAAGCTAGCCGTCTACTGAAAGAGACCTCTTCTACAAGAACTACTGACGAGATACCCGGATAGGACAGAATCGGCGTCGATGTGAGCTACGTTCACTGCGAATGCTGGTTGCGGGTGCCAGTCGTTTCCATGATGGTGAAAGAGTTACCGACATTTTTATCGCCAAGTGTTCACTGCATGGGTGCAGGTTTTCAATTGGTTGATACGCAAGCTGAATACCAACAGTCTGCAGACGCATATTGTCAGCAAATACTTCTTTAATTTATTTCTCTATCTGGATATTAATATATATTTAAATAGCTCATGTTATTGTGTTTCTTTCTCCTTAGAAGCTGTCGACCAGTACGGTTGAGCGCACGTGACTAAACATTAACCCCCTCCTCATAAGAACGGAGCCGACAATCTTAACAGATGTTATTGCTACCTAAAGAAAATAGCCTTATACTGAAAGAGAGCTCTTCTTCAACAAGGACTATTGACAAGATACACGGATGCCTTTTCGCCTAAGCTATGTCCACAGACCCACATTGTTTGCAGACTCTTTTTTTCTTTATCTCTCTCTACATTATATATATATATATATATATATATATATAGTACAAGTTGTTGTGTGTCTTTCTCTTTAAAACTGTCACCCAGTCCGTTTGAGCCACGTGGCTTAGCATTACCAACCTTCGAATAAAGTGGGACATGTAACATTACCCCTATTATCGTGGATATAAACACCACATTTTCCGCTAGTATATATATATATATATATATATATATATATATATATATATATATAATATAACGATATATAATTTTGTATATTTTTATATACCAACAAACAGTATTCAGAAAATATGACAAACTGGAAAGGATTTTTTTTGTGACGCGTTTCATCCGATGAAATGTTAACGGATAAAACTCGTCACAAAAAACTTTCCAGTTTGTCATATTTTTCTAAACATATATATATATATATATAAAATTCTCAAAATGTGTGGGTGTATGTATGTGTGTGGGTGTGATCGGATGTTGTTTATGCGTTTCTACAGTTTTCATTCGATTTCGATGAAAGTTTTTTGTTTGGTAGATAATTCTTCAGTGTCTGCTTTGAGTCCAAATTGGCAGGCAAAAATTACAACCTTAAAGGTGAAAAATCGAAAAAAAACTGATTTTTTACACTTTGCACAAAAATCAAAGGCAAAATTTAATGTCTGTAAAAAACAGCATACAATCAATTTAGAGAGTTGAAATCTAACGCAAAAGATTATTAGAATTATAAAAAAAAAAATAATATTATAAATAAAAATTATTGTCTATTATTATGACGGTCCATGGAAGAATTTCCTTCCTTGCAAGATTCAGAACGCAGAAACGGCTCTTTCAGCGCCCCCCCATTCAAATGGTTACCCCCCCCCCCATTTGGGGATGTGCTTCAGTTGCACCCAATTGTTGTTATTAATGTTTATTATCGGGTGGGCTGACTTTAAACTTAAACTGCTCCAACTGAACCGCAAAAATTCCCAGAGATGAAACATTCGGTCGAAGACGGGTTAAACTACTAGTGTATATATATATATATATATATATATATATATATATATATATATATACTAGTAGTTTAACCCATCTTCAAGGGCCTGCTTGGTGTCACTAGAAGCAAGCTTGCGGAGTGTGTGGCCGATCCATCCCTATTTAGTTTCTTGATGTCAATCTCGATTCGAACTTGTCTGGTCTTGTCCCACAGTTGGTGCTTAAATATGACTTTCGACCACCTGATATTGAAGGATGTTCCTAAGACATCGATTGGCAAATGCCTGAAGTCTGTGGACGTTGGTCTTAGTTACTCGCTAGGTTTCTGAGCCGTAAAGTAGGACCGACTTGACATTGTTTTTGAAGATCCGGATCTTGTTGTAAAGTGAGAGGGTTGTTGATCTCCAGTTTGGCCGCAGAGTGTTGAAAGCGTGTCGGGCTTTGTTGATTCGCCACTTGACATCCTCATATGTCCCCACTCCCAATCTTCATTGATGACGCTTCCCAGGTAGACAAACTTATTGACTTTCTTAATGTCTTCTTAGTGTAATCGACCTACTAATTAAATTGAATGAATTCCAAAATCAATTAAAAAAAATAGCTGAAGTATTTCATGTTTTACGCCAAAGAAGGATCATGAATTAAGAATTGTGCACTTCGACATGGTGTAATGGTTAACAGGCTTGTCTCGCCAGCTCAGTTACGATTGAATCGGGAGTCAGATCGTCACTGGGTGCCCCCTACTTTCGGCTTGTGTACCACATCTACCACATCATTATAAAATCATCATCGCCACACAAACGGAATGAAGCTTTCTTATCACAGATTCGACACACACCCTTGAAAGACAAAATTCGGATAAAAATATCATGAAGGTGCTAATGAAGTATATATATATATATATATTATTATATATTATGACTTTTGATTCCTCATCAGCTCGACCCATGTCATGCCGCTTCTGCGCCGAGTCGGTTTTGGCCGACCCACTTTTCACTTCCTTTGTAGATTCCAGTCAAGGGTTTGCCTGGTGTTACTAGAAGCAGGCTTGCGGAGTATGTATCCGATTCATCCCTATTTACGTTTCTCTCTTGCTGACTTTACCTCTGCGTCAACACGTCTGCGCCACAACACCTCTTCAACGGACGCGATTCCGGGCGATCCTCTTCAGCTCGACCCATGTCGTACCGGCTGCCTTTACCTCTGCATCAACACTTCTGCGCCAAGTCTGTTTTGGTTGACTCACTTTTCGCTTCCCTTGTGGATTCCAGTCAAGGACCTGATTGGTGACACTAGAAGCAGGTTTGCGGGGTGTGTGGTCGATCTATCCCCATTTCCATTTCTCTCTTGCCCCTTGATTCGTTGGGGAATATAGGGCCACCACAACACCTCTCCAACGGACGCGATTTCGGGCGATTCTCTTCAGCTCGACCCATGTCGTGCCAGCTGACTTTACCTCTGCGTCAACACGTCTGCGCCAAGTCTGTTTTGGTCGACCAACTTTTCGCTTCCCTTGTGAATTCCAGTCAAAGGCCTGACCGGTGACACTAGGATGCAGTCGCAGTAACAGAATTTGCAGAAACACAAATAAATTAGTTTAATGATTTTACATAGATAATTTCTCTTTTATTTCAGTTTTATTGGTGTTTTCTTGCTTGCTGACATGACTTTTTCTAGCAGTTTCGTTTTATGTTAAACTCTTCTCAGTGCCTCCCGGCTATGCTCTTTTTTAAATGTTGATAGCCGGATGGCTGTCATATATCACTTATACAAGGTGCGGTAGAAATACCTCCCACAGTAAACTTCTAACGTGTCCGACTGAACCCTGAACTGTTATCCACTAATTAAATCCTGACCTTTTCAAGTCTAGAGTTGTTAATACAATATCACACAGTAACCCTCTACCTTGAGTGGCTCCTGGGTCTTGTATTGGATGAACATTAGTAAAAAAAAATCAAAACAAAAAATCATATCTTCCACATAATGATAAGACATTAGTGGCAATGGTGTCGGATTCGTTACATACACTTACACGCAAATACTCTTGGGAAAGATATGAACCAATCTCTTCCCCCAGCTACGGGTTAAATAGTAGAAACTATTTTTGTCATTTTAAAAAGAATAATAATGTTAATGCAATATTAACTCGCAAAAAAAAAAGAGAAAAGAAAGAATTATTCTTACAATCAAAAATACGTTTCGCCTTTAAATAACCCAGAAAGGGTTGATAAGTTATAAAAAAAAAAATATCAAATTCGGTGATATTGCCAATTGGCGCTAAGGTATCCACCCGATAAAGAAAATTAAATTACTAAACGCGGTAGATACCGGAAGTAAGCTAGAGAGTTAACCAGCTAAAACGTTGCGATAAAATTGCAGGGCGGGAAGAAGCGAATAAAAAAAAAAAAAAATGGCGATTTGAAAGCATATTTGTAACTTTTGTAAATTTTATGCTGTTTATTTACATATTGTTCATTTTTATCAAGGTGTTAATACTATCGAAAAGGTAACATACGTGTATTTTAGGATTAAATCCCGATTTAAATTTTCATTTTTTTTTTTTTCAGCTATCTTTTTCAGAAATTAACAAATTTTCCGGTATTTGTGGCTTTTATTTACGTACGACTATTTCATAATGTGTCTTGCTTTCTTGTGTTTTTGTTTACCTGGTGTTTTATATAGGTATCTCCATAGATTCACGATACCGAAGGTTTAAAATGAATTTTAAAAAAATGAAAAATCTTTCTTGAAGCTTTTATTTTAATTTCAAGCTAATTAATTTTAATTTTTTTCTAAAAAACCGATTAGTTAATTTTCTGGGAGCCTCTAAAACACGTAATGTATATAATGTTTATATAAATACATTATATACGTTCCAAAGTTTTTCATAGCCGGGTGTGATAGTGGAGACATGCGCCCACTGTCTATAGAATGATTTCGTGGCATGCACCATAAATAGACTCTGACAACTAAGTCCAGCCCGAAGCCAGAGAATGGGCGAAGGCGGACAACTGGCACCTCATGACCAGCTGTTCGGGTAGATGGAGCTCGTCAGCTTGGGAATGCAGTCCATCTAGAGGAAGGAAAACCCTTATTTTTAAACCTCCGCTGCCTAGTGTCCATTTCCAAACTCGGAAGTGACTATGGAAATGAATCCTGACAGAAAACCCTGAGAAGAAGGCAGTTGTCTGTCAACACTGACAATTTTCCGGCAACTCCTCCTGTCAAGCTGGTGTAAGAAGAGGAGAAAATACCAGCAAATAAAATAATTATAATTAAAAATAAAAAAACGAAAAGAAAAAGAAATACTTTTTCCGGTGTTGTAAGTAATAAAGTAACCGGAAAGGGTCTTCGGTCATCTACGCTATTTTATGAAACCCGCTCCCAGAAAGGACAGAAGCTTTCTCTTTAAATTTACAACGACAGCTTTCGGACGTGCTTTGCAACCATACTTATGAATTAAGTAATTTGGTCGTTCCAACTTAGTGCAATGCAAACTTGAGCTCGACCGTTTTAACCATTCTTATCCTTAGTCATCTTAACTTCAGAATCAAAAAAGAAAACGGACAAAACCAAGAGACATTGGGAACTTTGCTTCAATACAGTCACCATAAAAAGAATAAACAGCCTGTG